GAGCAGTGCTCTGTGCCACACCCGATCGAAGGCTTTCGCTATGTCCAAACTTACCGCCAGCGCCTCCCCCTTGGACTCAATTGCCTCTGCCCACCTATGTGTAAGGTATACAAGGAGGTCACCAGCCGAGCGACCACGACGGAAGCCGTACTGAGAATCGCTAATCAGCTGGTGGCCCTCTAGATACCTCAAGAGCTGGCTGTTAATAATGGTTTCCATTATTTTGGAGAACAAGGAGGTTATAGCTATTGGGCGATAGTTGGACGGATCAGAGCGATCGCCTTTTTTAGGGATCGGATGTATCGAAGCGATCTTCCAGCACTTCGGAACAGTGCCGAGCGTGTAAAGGTACCGGAAAAGGCGCGTTAGGACCGGAGCCAACTCAGGAGCACAAGTACGCAGCACAATTGGAGGGATGCCATCAGGCCCGCTCGACTTATGGATGTCCAAGGAAGACAAAGCTTTACGGATAGCACGTTGCCGGAATATAACTTCGGGCATCGTAGTATCACACCGCAATAATGTCGGTGGTTCCTTCCCTTGATCATCCAAAGTGGAGTTCGACGCAAAGAGACAGCCTAGAAGATCGGCCTTCTCTTTCGCGGTATGGGCAAGTGAGTCATCCTCCCTATGCAGTGGTGGAATTGAGGGCTGACAGAAATTCCCTTGGACAGCTTTGGCAAGAGACCAGAAGGCTCGAGTTCCCGAAGGGAGGTGGGCCAATTTCTCACCAAATCTGGCAATGTGCTCTGACTTTGCTTTAGCGATTTCTCGCTTGAAGGACCTGGAGGCTGAATTGTATGCTTTTTTACGTTCGCCGATAGTCACATCACAGGATGTCACCGCTTCTGCCCAGGCTTTAAAGCATTCACGCTTACGGCGCAAAGCCGCTTTGCAGGAACGCCTAAACCAAGGCTGGGACTTGCCACCGACCGGCACCGCAGAGAATGGAATAAAGAGTTCCATACCCTGCAGGACCACCTCGGCGACAGAGTCAGCGACGGCATCTGGAGTACTCGACGAAAAGCAAATGGGCCCCCAAGGGTAGGACGCAAAAAAGACCGCATCCCATCCCAATCTGCTGACTTATAGTGCCACACGCGGCGACAGCCCGTGAAGCTAGGCCGAAGAGGGCGCGTGAACGGCACAATGCTCCGGACCACACAATGATCTGATGAACCCAATGGCGGTTCAACAGAGACTTGGTAGTTCTCCGGATGTGAAGTCAGCAGAAGGTCCAACAAAGAGGGTTTATGACCATCCACATCTGGTATTCGCGTAATCGCAGGGACCATTTGCGTCAAGTCATAAGCCAAAGCAAAGTCGTGAAAGGATCTTCCCGCATGATCGGTGGTTTCTGAGCCGAGCCAATCGGCATGGTGGGCGTTAAAATCGCCAAGTATCACGATTTCAGCGGTAGGAACCCTTTCGAGCAGGGAATCTGTAGCCATTTGGATGTGCTCAATGAGTCGGTCAGTTTCGGTATTTCCGCTATGGGACCTATACAGGCATGCATAGAATCGCGGATGGTCATCGCAGTCTACGCGCAGCCAGAGGTTAGATAGGTCCCTTCCTTCAAGCGTCCCGAGGCGACGAGAACAGATATCCTCTCTGACGTACACGCAAACTCCCGCCCGCGGCACAAATGAATGTTCCAATTTGTACCCCGGGTAGGGAGAGGTAGGAAGTATCAGCCGGGGAGGAAATCTGAGTCTCGGTAAGAAAGAGCAAGGCCGGCTTCGCAGTCTCTAATTGAACAACTATAGTTTTGCTTTGATAATGATACTTCTTTAAACTTATTCTGTAAAAAAATATATTTTACTAACATGCATAATTTGAAAACATCTTCGTTTTCCCATTACGTAACCTTAAAAAAACCCTTCACCACTTAAATACATTTTTCGTGCGTTCTATAAATTGCATAACACCAGACTTGTAAAAAAAACCAAAAAGACTGTTATATAAATATTTATTAACAATTAAAAATTATCATTCATATTGTGACATGGGATTGAATATCAGAGATTCGTTTCTTTCAAATTATTTTCGTAAAATTTAAAAAAATCCGATTATTAAGCGTTCGCAAAATATCAATTATAAAAATACAATAAAATCTATTTTATAAAGCTTACACCGAAATAACACTACATTGGAATGAAAAGACTTGTATAAATATTAAAACAGGTAAAAAATCTCGGTCGCATAGATAATAAATGGCAAGCGGGCGAATTTTTCATTGATCGCCATCGAGTTTTTTCGCGCGCTTACTTTTACAATAAAATTACATGCATAATAACATTCAACTATAAAAACGGCAAAAAAATTTAAAATAAGCAAAATAATCGTTGTAACACATACTCATATTCACAAATAAATGCAAATTCGATTGACGTGGTATGATATTAAAAAATCCGTCGGACGGTACATGATTTATTGATTGCAATATAAAATATAATTTTTTTTATTATTTTTTTATCGCATGCTAATAAATTATCTACGTACACCCGCCCTTTTGCGTTTGTCTTAGGGTTACCATGCTTAAATAAAAAAATACTACAAAAACAAAAGAGCGGGCTTAGTGGCACGTGAATTCTCTTGATGAGCAAATAATCGATTGATAAAATTCCCTTTGTATTGGTATGTTATCTAAAGCTGGCGGCTTCAACACATTTACACTTTGTGCTTGTGTAGTGTCTGTGAATAAGCGCGAGGCGTATTGTCACACTGAATATGCATCATGAAAAGACTGTCCGTCTCTTTCGCGCTCGGTCAAGCTTATGAGTATAAAAGAGACAGTTATCGTTTTGCTTTTGCTACTGTTTATGTTGATCTTTTTTCTCATTATAATTTTGTCTGTGATTGTTTACTTATTTGGTTGGAGGTTAGAATACTTTGAAAAAAATGTCTTATGAAATATATTTCGTCTAAACATTACCAGGGCAATCTCGTGAAATGGTGTACAATGTTTTTAATTATTTTAAGCATCAAAAATGTTATTTTTAATTTGACATCAGATGCGACTGGTGTTTCTAAGAGGAGTATTGAAAGAATTGTAAGTGAAGTAAAAGTGAAGTGTGTTGAGCTAGATGGAGCTTATGTCGAAAAATGAAAAATTATTTACACAAAGTACTCTTTTACGTTCTTGGTCGGGCTTAGAACTTTTAGATCCACCCTCGTATGCACATAATATTTATATGTATTTGACACATTTTTATTTATTTACAACCCACCCAACCTTACTAAAACCAGAGTAGACTAAAATATATAACTTGGCAAAAAAGTCATATTTTTAAACATACTGTATGTGAAATTGCATTAGTGTGAGTACTGTGAACGCGCCAGCTTTCGATAACCGACCTATATCACGGGTCCTTATTCTAAAACTCAAGCTTGAAACTCGTATTAGACATAATTTTGGTACATTTAAGAGAATTCACGTGAGAAGCGAGTGAGCACTTAAAATAAACTTAATCTAGGCTAGGTCTAAATCTAGGCTACTGGTGGGGCGAATTCCCTGTGATACCTAGCGCATTGAAAAGTTTCGACTTTAAGTTCATTCGTGGCTCGTTTGCTTGATTCGTGCCCTATGGACAAAAAAAACATAAATGTGCAAATCAAAATAAGCGTGATCGGCAACACAATACAAAACCACAATTTGGGTTGCCAGAAGCGGGCCGAACAACAATCCACCTTTTTAAAGCCATAAAAACGCCATTTCAATTCATGAAGATTAAATTCGTGTTGTAAACAAGGTTTTGACAGTTCAACAAGGATGTTTTGGCAATTGACATTTGACTGCGGCATTTTTTGGGTGTTAGCGGTTTGATATAGCCCCATGACCCTGTGGTTGAATCGACCGAAAATCATTTTTATTCGGCAATTCAGACAAATTAGTAGTGCAGTAAAACAATTGGTGACTAGATTAAAGCCTTGTTGAACTCCACTGTCCACTAATTAAGTCAGATTCTTCAAATATTTTTTGATTTAGGGAAATTGTGAGTCTTGGTAAATGGTCTTGGAAGATGGTTACATCACTAGCCAAAATTACAAGATTCTTTATGATACTAGAAAATTAGGTTAATCAGAAAAAAACATTTTGCCCACAATGCCGAGATTTACGTGCCAAAATAAACTTGTAGCGCTGTACCTAGATTATGATTGCTCATTGCTGAACCTTTTAAAACATGAAATGATATACCCCTTCATAAAACTAAATCAGTATTACAGAGATTAAATACACTTTCGTCTCTTTCTGCCACTTTGCATGTACACTGTTATGAAAAGAGATAGAAGTATGAGTAAGTAATGTAACATCTAATAATACTGATTTTGTTGTCGGGCTTTCAAGTCCCCATGTTTTAAAATTAAATAAAATCGCGTATAATATATCTTATGGTATTTCTTTAAACATATGAGTAAGAATCCACTTAATTCTATGTATGATAAGGGTTATGTTGTCATGGAAAAAGTAATTAGGACAACGTGGCAATGGAATTTGGAATGTTTAATAAAATGGCGTTATAGCTATGATATTCTCGCTCCCAACAGCAACAAACTCCCACAGACAAAGCGTGGACACGAGACAGTGCGATTTGCAATTTTTAAGAGTTGCTGGTTTAAAGTTGAACTAGTTTTATTTGTAAGACTTCGGTACTTTCAAAATCTGAATTCCAAATTAACAAAGGAGAATATATTCTCGATAACTTTTGACTTAATAATGTTGGTGCTATTTGGTAACTTATATGCGAAGATGTGAAGTCACTTATAACCCATAAAATAACTTGGTGCTTTCGCCATCAAAACTTCTGATTTATCAGCGATTAAAAAATAATATTGATTAAGAAATAATATAAATTAAATATGTAACGCTGCTCGATAACGAACAAAATGTAGCACTTTTAAATGCCTTCATTGGAAACAAGAGATTCATTTAATAAAGTTGTTTTTAAATAAACCACTCAACATAAACCAGCAACGCAAACACAACCAATAAAGCACACTCAACCGACCGTAATTTCTTCGTCGTTCTGTTCGAGCGAGTCGCGAGCTCGTCCACGTCCTCGGGACTGCTTCATGACGTCCAAGGCCTACACATATGTACGATCATACCTATCTGCCGTATGTGTAGGCAGACCATTTGAGTACGCATACTATTACTAAAACCCTAGTAAGTTAGTAGTAATAATCAAAAGAAAAATCATCAGAATCTTTTAAAAATCTCTTCATAGCTTTTTATTCTTCGCAAAACGAAAGGTTTTTGCTAAGTTCGTCATCTAAGGTATTAATAGGGAATTTATATTTATCCGTAGGTAAATGTAATTTTAACTTAAAGAGAACAGCCTTGCGATTCTGTAACTCACTTTTCAAACTCTCACAGCGGCGGTCGCGCTCAAATCAGTCGCGAAGCAGACATTTCACGATTTGGCATTCGCCGCTGTGAGAGTTCGAAAAGTGAGTTACAGAATCGCAAGGCAGTACTAGTACTAGCGGGACAGACTAACAGTTCTTTTCAATCGATAATATAAAATTTAACATTGACCATAAACTAAATAATATCCTAAGGGAGTATTGAGTACGTATGAGAATATATATATATATATTAATAAATATGTATGTATACAGATTGAAAATATACTAAAATTCATTACAAATATGCAATATCATGCATACATAACTTTATGTGATGTGGGGTTAATGTTTGAAAACGTATGTTCTTGAAATCTATATTTCTCTAACTAGAATTAAAACATTATTTTTAAACCAAAAATCAATACATCTTTTTTAAACTGAGTTAAACTTTAGAAATACAGATTTCAAAGCGTATACGACTTATACGCTGCACTGCGTATACGTACAACGTATACAACGTCCACTATGTTGTTACCTCTTTTCGGCTACGCAAAGCACAGTCTTCGAGTGTTTCAGCTGCCTCGTACTTGCCCTGACGCCGGTAGAGGGCGCCCAGGTTCTTCAATGTGGTGGTTACTGTTGGAGAGTCTACCTGAAAATCAAGTGCATAATACGATTAAATTTAAATTGAATTAATGCAGTACAAAGATTCTGAGCCACTGGAAATTATAATTTAGTAAGATCTTAAATAAGCCTCATAGCCTAGCTTGCGGTCTTATTAAGTGGCAGCTAGATGAGGGGTACCGGGTTCGATTCCCGGTTCGAGGGCAAGTTTTAATTTAATTTTGTTCTCGGCCTTTGAGAGGGTTGTACGGTACAGGGCGAGTGCTTAAACCGTACATGGAGGACATGGTCGAATTATAAAAAATCTTATACTTGACGCTGGCTAATGCACAAACCGTGCCATAAAAAAATAAAAATAATTAAATTGAAATTACCTTGGCAGCCTTATGCCATCCACCATATTCTCCATACGGAGCATTCTCCTTCTGCAAATGTTTGTTTTCCTCTCGCTCTTCAGCCACTTGCCAGATCGGCTTGTTGTCATCTGCACAATAGTTTATATTAGTGGATTGTAATCGAATTAAAAAAGAAAGAAACAAAAATGCCTTATAAGGACATAAACTGACAATATTAGTGTTTTAGTATTTTTTTACACGAGTTCCTTCCTAACTTATCATAACTATGAATATGGTTTGAGTATGCAGATTTAATGGAATATTCTAGAAGCTCACGAATAAATTATGCAATATTTTAAACCGATTCAATATTGTCAACTTAATTCCATATAAGTAAGTGACACAAGTTGGAAAGGCGTGACACAACTGGCAGGAAATAAGAAGTCATAAATGCTTCAAACAAATCAGACCAATTCTCTTCAATACTTTTTATACGCATACGTTATCCGTTTTATTAAATAAACAAAGTTTATAGTCCGGTTATTATACGCTTGCAGCACTATAAAACCCTTCCTACCTGTGCCACTGTTAATATACCAATCTTGTGTCACTCACCTATTAACGATGTTAACAAGTCATCCCCAAAATAAAAAAAAAATATAAATTTACAATCAATATATTCAACACATACTATATATTGTTATAAAAGGCACATATTTGGCAATTTCGGCATCGGATTGAAAATATTTGTATTATAATCACATTTACTTTGGCAATAAATATATTAAGTGATTTAAGAAGTATTCGCAAATCTACATATGACGCACTTTCATTTAGTGTTCACTTTCATATAGATATATGTGTATAGAAAAGTTCTTAATATATTAAACAGAAAAACAGTGGAAAGTTTTACTAAAATAATTCAACATTATATGTCCTGTCATTATCATCGAATACTTGTCAAATCAACTAAATAACGACTATCACAAAAATGTTTTTAATTAAAAAAAGCATACGTGACAGCCGCTCAATTACACCACTTGGCACTACGAAACATGCGCTCCGTAGTCAAATTCTCTTAAAAATATATAAAAAATATTTTATAGAATGAATATCTACTTGAAAATCTGTTTGCAAATATATTACGACGTTGTGCAGTGAAAGCTGATCATTTAATTGTCCTAAGTTTTCAAAAATCCGTATAATTAAGAACGGTAACATCGTGCGGCACTTCATGGTATAAAATATAAACAATCTTAACTTGGACTTTGAATATGCGTGTCCAGAACAATGGTAAAGAAGTATGTCAAAGTCAAAGGTCAATGTCGCTAGTGTAGTGGCAAAGGCAAACACACCTCTTCTACACGGTACGAAGTTAGATAGGAAAATCTTTTCGGTAGATAACCTTAGATGTTCATTCTATATGTATATCACAACACATTATATCACTAAGCTGCAACACAATTCATTTGTACACACTTTTTGGGTTTTTTCTTTTATTTGGAATAACAAAATCATAAGCTAGGAAGCCGACATGAAATTGCGAATGAAGACGTATTTCTGTTTACGTGCTACGCAGTCTAAGGATCTAGAATATTAACTGTTCTGACGTCAGAACGACGCGTAGTACGTACGTAGTAAAAGCTGGTATTTTGATAATAATTGAAGATCGACAATGTATTTAAATGTTTTTAATAAATCATCTTCACTCACATTTCTACTTAAAATTAGGCAAGAAAATCTACCGCTACTGAAAACATTCGAGTTTTTACCAAATGCAGATAGAGATCTAAAATATATATTCAATGCAGACGATCTACAACATTTTACAATATTTTTTTTAGGACTGGGGGCAAACGGGCAGGGTCATCTGATGTGATACCGCCGCTTATGAACACTCAATGCTAGAGGGCTTGTATGAAAATGAAAGTCTGTTTGATCGCAATCTCAAAAACTAACGAACGGATTTTTGTATGGAGGAAGGTTTAGGTGTATCTCAAGCTAAAGCGGTAGGTACAAGCATCATGAGTCATTATGGTTTTACTGAAATACTAGTGGACCCCACAGACGTTGTCCTGCATGATATTTAAAGCGATTAGGATATTAAGCAAAGTATGAAAGTACCGACTGCAGTGCCATCTGCCGGGCTGATTTGTGAATCTAAACCATTCCCAGATCCCCTTGAACACACACAAAAAATTTCATCAAAATCGGTCCAGTCGTTTAGGAGGAGTTCAGTCACATACACACGCACACAAGAAATATATATATTAAGATAACGATTATTGCTGAAGATATCGCAAAAATCTAAGCCAATTAGATATTTTTTAGATGAAAGTTTTCAAATGAATCGTTGTATCTCGTCTACATTGAATTGAGTATAAGAAATAATTATTCTATGGTAATAAAATTTTCAATTAAAACATGCAGGTAACTCAGTTTCATTCTAGTACAAAATATAAAAATATGCGAACCGGACTAATAATCTAGTGAAAAATTGGGAAAGAAATCTTTAACTAGCAGTATTTGTGAACCAAAATATTTAAAAAACGCGTTAGTGGAATTGAAACACCCCCATGCCTTGGAAGAGCAGGTAAAGCCGCGATACTCATGTGGTTTTGAGAAACTTTCTATTTTATAAAGGGGTTGCAAATGCGCGCACGCAGCACATACCAAATAACGTAAATCGAGTCTAAGACTCCAGACCATCATAACCGTCAAAAATTAAATTTTTTTAAATAAAAAATTAACTGTAAAACATTTTTGTTTATATTATAAAATATCAGGAATATCAGGCTTTTTAAAGTTTTCTATCCCAACCATTGGTTATGCTTTATACCTGTGTGATTAACTTTAAAGCTTTAACTACACTATTAACAAAAATATATTTTCTAAATCAATTAAAATTATATAAATTTGGATTATAATAATTAATAATCTTTACGGCAGAGGCCAGCAAATTATGCTGAAATTTATTCGCGAGAGTTCAAAACATAAATAATACAGATTAAAATGGAATAAATAAAACTGTAACTAATCAATCTGCGACCATATTTCGGGGTTAAAACACCGTTACACAACACAAAATATTTTGTAAAATAAATAATATGACTGAAACATATAATTCAGTTAAAATTAACCTAAGCTCTGCCGATAGTTAATCTAATTTTTATTGTTTAATAATGCACTTCTTGCACTTTACCCTTGTTTTCTTTTTTTTAGTATTATCCTAACTTGGAAGAGAGATCGCTTGTTAGCGATAAGCCCCTCATAATTTATGTTAATTATTTTTATTTTAATGTAACGAAATTTAAATAAATAAAAAATTGCGGACCCCTGCTAAAAGCAATATACGCCAATTAAACAGGTATCGAATAAAAAACTGACGCAAAGTTCCAATTTATTAAATTAATAAGTATCTATATATTCGAAAACGATTTCATAATTCAACTCATTTAAAATTATAAATTTTTATTTGTCATATTTGGTGTACATATAAAAATAACTGTTTCACTGATAATTTGCTATCTATATGGAATACTTTGATTAAATAACAATAAAAAAATATATCTTGTACGTTAATAAGTAATTGTTTTATTCTATAGGAATGCATGTTCATAATTAATAGCTAAGGGGACGATTTGTTAATGACCTTATTAGGTTTTTTTAATGACTGTATATACTCTGAAAAATAAAAAAAAACTGAAAAATTATGCCAACAAAAACTTTAAATAAAAAAAAAGTTTATCACATTAATGCGTTTTTTTTAAACTAAGCAATTTCAATTATTAATAAAAAATGATAGCTAATGTTCAAAGAGTTCTAAGATTTTTTATAATTAGAATTTAAAAAAAAGCAGTTAGGACTCACCATCAATAGTCCCGAATTCCCTTTCGTGGGCACGAGTCAACACTTGTTTGTAAAGAGTTTCGGCTTCCTTGTATTTGCCCTGGAATTATTTACTGTTTAATGACTATTCAATAGGCCAAATATTGATTTAATATTTCCTTTTGTGCAAGTTTTTAATAACTATTATTAGTCAGTTTTGAAGGATATCTGATGATAACCATGTAATGTTATTATATAATTTAAAAAAAAATGTGCAGAAGACAAAGTATTTTACCCTCCCACTAGGATTTTCTGTGTCCAGGGCTAGTCTCTTCCATTTGTCATAACTTATGTTTAAAGGAACTATACGTAATAAATTCTACATATCACTTATTAAAATTTTAAGTCAGTTTTAAACGTATAAAGTTTTGAAGCGAGAGTACAAAGTACACTACAATTACATTATAATTAAGTACAGTATTAATCTTTCAATCAATACTTTTTTAAAATTTCTTGCAAATAAATCGACCCACTGGCAGGATAGATTGTCACTGCCACTGCCACTTATTAACCATAAATAATAGAAAAGGTGATGATTTTAATCACACAGTATTTATTATATCTGTAATTACTACGCTTTATCAAAGTCTGTGTATGTGACGTAATTAAATGTGCGTACAAATACACATGCCAGAAGTGAAATTTCTTTAGCAAACTAAATTGACAATTCGTCATTTGAGATTTCAATAAATTATTTTGCATAAAATATAAATATTTTATAACTTCTCTTTACGAAATTTTAATTTTAAAAATAGCATTACTATAAGGTAATTCGCCCTTCTGATTATCTCTCAATCGGTCTCAATCGCTTTCTCCCTTTTCTTTGACAAAAACGCTGCACATCTTCGTGACGTTTTCGTAAAAATTTAAACGCCTAAATAAATTTTACTTCAAAAATATCACTTCTACTTTAATGTCTAAAAAGCCCAGTAGCGCTACAACTCTGGGTCTTGCCTTCAGATTTTCGTGATCGTTAAGTTTAAATAGCCAAGTTGGTGATCCGCCCTAAGCCGGCCTTTGTTTGAAGCCTATTCCTCACAAGCAAGTAATAAATGGGGTAACGTTACCTGTTTGAGATAGCAAGAAGCGAGGTTATTCTTGGTCTTAGCCACGTTGGGATCGTCAACTCCCAATCTGCCTTCATAGATTTCCAATGCACGCTGGTAGTACTGTTCCACTTCTTCGTATTTGTTCTGAAATCATATGGCATTTTATGGTCCTTCGAGACGGAATTTTATTTCGACCTTCAAATAAATTCAGATTAGTTGTAATGAAATTTGTAATATAAGATATTTTAAAGAGCTACAGAAGTATTGTTGAATACGGCAAAGGTCTTATTTATATCATATTCTATTATTTCATGCTCGCCTACTTTGTTCAAGACATCAGAAATTATTAATAATCATTAAATTTTTATATATGAATAATTAATTTACCCCAGATTACTATAGATTACTATCTAATATAGTACTCTATCGTTCCATTTTGCTCCACTGTTAGGAACTTGGGCATTACCTTGGATACAACCCTTTCTTGGCAGCCCCAAATTAACGAACTGAGCAGAAGGATCTTTTCTTCTTCTCATGCGCTTAATAAGTTAAGCAATTTTTTGCCTATCCCTACTAAAATTTCTCTTGTTCATTCTCTTTTACTTTCTATTCTTGATTATGCAGATGTGTGTTATCCAGATTTAACTGAATTGCAGTTTGATAAGTTAGAGCGCTTACAAAATGTTTGCATCAGATTCAAATTTGTACTTCGTAAATTTGACCATATTTCGGAGTTCGGAAGAAAGCTTAATTGGCTACCCATTCGATCGCGGCGTGAGATGCACATTTTACAACTTCTCTATAATGTTCTTTTTAATCCTAAAACTCCTAGTTACTTAAAGAAAAATTTTATGTTCCTCTCTGGCGGTAGTTTTGACTTGCGTTCCTTAGACAATCTAATTCTTGAAACTCCTATTCATAAAACTGAATTCTATCACTCCTCCTTTACTGTGCAAAGTATCCTGCTATGGAATTCCCTACCAATTGAGATTAGACGAGCTCAGTTCCTAAATTTATTTAAAGAGCTTCTTTTTGATCATTTTCTTTCTGCCTCGTAATTAGCTCTGCTTATATATAATAATTATTGTTACTCACTCTTAACCTTTTGATTGGCTTTTAAATTTTTGTTTATACATATTTTTATTTATTATTATTGTTATTTTTTCTTTAGATTTTACTTTATTTTATTTTAGTTATAGTCACGTGTTATTTTGAGTATCTTTTTGTTAATAATTTTTGCATTACATTGTTCCACTTTAGGGTTGCCTAGAAGAAATCGCTTGTTAGCGATAAGGCCGCCCGTTGCCTTACAATTTTTGTAACCGGATTTTTTTTATTTTTGTTATGTTTATGTTTTTGATTAAGGTAATAAAGTATAAATAAATAAAAAAATTTCATGAATAAAAAGTATGACGTTACTTCCTGTAGAAGAAACTGTGAAGTACCTGGTTTTGACAAAGTAGTGCCAAGTTGTTGAGTTGTTTGGCGACATCGGGGTGATCGCGACCCAATACATTCTCGCGGATACATAAAGCACGCTTGCACAATGGCTCGGCTTCACGGTACTTGCCTGAAAGATATATTTGTCTGATATATAAACGTTTCTCGCGAACCTTCGATCGTACTCTTGGTGCAGGACTTGAAGAGACTTTTGAAGGAATAGTGAATGGCGAATTTACCTCTTTTCCCATACAAAACAGCCAGATTATTGAGCGTAGCGGCAACGGCTGGATGGTTTTCTCCGAGGGTCTTCTCACGGATCGAGAGAGCATCGTTCAGAAGATTTGCTGCTTCTTTGTATTTACTTTGATCCCTGTACGGTACCATTCAATATTTACTGTTTATGTTATGGGGTTATAATCACATATTTAATCAAAATATATTTTTTTAATATAGGTAACACTATCTTATGAACATCAATAAAAAAACAACATTTAAATGAAATGCTTTTAAATTTACATTTACTGTCAGTTCTTTAAGGGCATAGAACGGACAAGAAGAACTGGCAATAAACTTTGCAAATCTTTTTAATCGGCAAGTTTTAGTTAATAAAAAAACGAATGTTTAACCTCTATTTGCAGTAGAAAATAATATGAGCACACGCAATCTATATGTGAGAACACGGTACTATTAAGTTGAATCAAGGTAGAAATAGTTATACGTAGTTGGTCCCAAAGTTCTATCACTAGCACATTATAACCGAATAGTTGTTATTGCGTTGCACCGCTGTGGACACGCGCCGGCCGCCTCTCTCCCCCCCTACCATTTTCAAGTTGCTCAAAAATTTGAATATAACGCTTAGGTTTGTGTACGGTACTATTGATAAGTACCTTGAAGTCTCCAGTGTTGAGGACAAGAAAAGAACTGGCTGCCCCCCCCTGCCGCAAGAACACCAGCAGTAATCAAAGCTATCAAGGCGCGGATAGTAAGAAATCCTGTCCGAAAACAGAAGTGATGGATTTGCAGATGGGTGTCAGTAGGAAAACAGTAAAAAAGGTTTTAAATGAAGATCTTGGTCTACGAGCATACAAAAAGAGTGGGCACTTACTTAATGCTCGTCTAAAAGCAATAAGGCTTAAAGATCGCGGTGTTGTTTAAGCGGTACGCGAAAAACCGACACCGTGATATCCTCTTTACGGACGAAAAATTTTTCCCATATTGAAGAGAAGTACAATAAACAGAATTATACAGTGTACGCTAGGAGTTCTGAAGAAGCTGAAAATAAAGTTCCAAGGGTGCAACATGGACATCATCCATCATCCACTAAAGCCTGGTTTGAGAGTCAAAACATCGTCTTAATTAGACATGAGGATTGGCCTTCCTCCAGTCCGGACCTTAATCCTTTGGACCCGAAAATTATGACAGGGCTTAGAGAGGAAGGTCTGTGATAAACCTCATGAAAATTTGGAGAATCTGAAGTCATCTTTAAAAAACCAGTGACTGAAATCGACACGAATATGGTGCGTGCTGCGATAGACGACTGGCCGCGACGCTTAAGGGCCTGTATTAAAAATGAGGGAGGTTATTTCGAATATTTTTATGCTTTTTTTATTCCTTAATTAATGTACTAAGAATTGATATATCACTCATTACAAACTGATCAGTACTTTTGTTTTTATCATTATTTCCATTTATGACAGAACTTTGGGACCGACTACGTATAATAGTTAATATAATTTTTTTTAACTGAATACCAGAAAAACTAGCTCACTGTTTAGAACTAGGTCATAAAAACAAAGAAATGGAAGAAGACCGAAAGATTTTTTTAAATTATATTTTTTACTGTTTTTCAAAGCCTACGTTATTACAATAGATTTCTTTTAAACTGTTTTCCCAGAAATCATCTTTTTTTATATAGAACAGGGGGCAAACGGGCAGGAGGCTCACCTGATGTTAAGTGATACCGCCGCCCACGGACACTCAATGCCAGAGGCTCGCGAGTGCGTTGCCGGCCTTTTAATAATTGGTACGCTCTTTTCTTGAAGTACCCTAAGTCGAATTGGTTCGGAAATACTTCAGTGGGCAACTGGTTCCGCATAGTCGTGTTGCGCGGCAAAAACTGCCTTGAAAAACGCTCAGTTGTGGAAGGCGATGTCTCTGTGACCTGTGTTTAAGTGACAACAAAGAAAAAACTTCACCTGTAAACCAGCGCCAAAATATTAAGCATAGTGGCGACATCTGGGTGATCATGTCCGGAGGTCTTCTCCAGGTCTTCCAGGGCCTGTTTGCACAAAGGCACTGCCACCTCGTATCTGCCCTGAGACGCGTATTGGATCACCAAGTTGTGCAATGTCCGCAGACGGGCAGGGATCTCGTACCCCGCGTTCACCTGCTGCGCGAATTGGGATGGCGGTGTTGGAGACATCGCTGAAATTATTAAATAACGTCTCCGTGATATACTTATTATATGTTTTTAATTTATTTATTATTTTTAACTAAAAGTAGATAAAACACCAAAACCACACAAATTCAACTAAAATCAACTAAAAAGTTAAAAAAAAAACATAACGAAAACATTACAACAGAGAGAAAAATTATGGTCTTGAGTTCGATTTTTGGCAAAATAATGATTGTATCAAGTTGAAAAGTTTCAAAGGGCATCACCAATTTTTGGTTGGACCAATTATAAAATATAAAACATGAAACAAATTCTTGAGATACAGCCAACGAAAACTGATAATTGATCATTAACTAGAAAAAGTAGAAAGCCATAATGCCAGAATGAAAGTATAACTTACACTTATTATTCCTGTTATCCTCGTGGTCATCATCAGGGAAGAGATCCACCATTGGATCATCCCGCTTGTTGTCAGTCTGTCCGCTGCGGTGATTATCGTTTTCCTCGGTTATGTCGCTATCGTATTTACTGAAAACGAAAAAAGTATGGTTTAAATTTAACATCAGTTGCATTTTTCTGTCTATCACAAAATATAGTTCTGTACTACTACTAGATCCATTTTCCTGTGACGGAAATAGTCGATAGGAAGCCCGAAATCCCGGCCCCCCCCTGTAACGGGCGGAAAATCGAGAAATCGACGGAGTGCGTCAAGCACAGAAGATGAATTACCTCCTATTATTAAGAAAAAGGCAAATGATAACGAAACAGATATGATAATAAAATCTGGGGCCCGGATTTGAAAGATTGTTGATTTAAATAGAACCTCTATCGGATAAGTCGAATTTTTGTAATAAATAAAAAGTTTAAAAAGTCAAAGATGTTTAAATTGTCTTCTTCCTTTTTATATTTACCGTATAGAAGCCATAAACTCCAGATGTTTGTTCTCCTCTTCCAGCTGTGCAACACGCTGTTCTGATGCCTGGAGCCGCTGCTGGGCAGCAGCCAGTTCATCACGCAACCAGGCGTTTTCCTGGCAAAGGCGTCGCACCTGGGTGCGCAGCTTCTGTTTCTCCGCCTCAACCGATTGCAGGTGGGAGGCGAGGGCCATCATCACCTGGATTATATAATAAACATTGAGTATGATATGTTGGTGTATACTTATCGATACATTGTATTATTTTCTCAAATCCCAGGTCAACAAATTAAGAAGCGCAGACCATAAGAATTTCGTGTGCTGATTCCAAGTGCGGTCTGCCCCCCAGTTGAGACTGTAGTTGGTCGCACTGGCGTCGTTCTGTCTCTCTTGCTATAGTAGTGAAGATACACTGGGGGAACGTCCGTCTCTCTCGCTCTCTCTTCTTCGTATAGCTCATTGTTTAGTTAGGCCTACATCTGAATTTGTTGGAGGGACTGCCACGCCGCCAAACGGCAATTTGGCTTCAGAGCACAGAGTTTGTCTTCAGGTGCACCTTTCCCAGGTGGTCAAATTTATGTAGTTTAGATTAAGACAATGTTTGCCGAACTGCTGACCAAACTTAATTCCAACATTATATAAATCTATTTTTTGGTATCGTCCCCTCGCCCTCGTTTGTTCAAAAGAAGCAATATATTATTACTTGCATAAAACAGTAGACATAACTTATTGATTCGATAACGTAATTTAGTATAGGGAAAACGGACTAGAGGTATTAATGCCACAATAGCTTTGTTCAAATTAATTTCCGGTATTTTTGCTTCTGTCATTAAACTAATAAGTCGACAAACAATTTAGCTCGCAGACAACCCCTTAAGTTCAACAACCGGAGGGGGCGGCATCCTTTTGCAATGAACTCATTACGTGAGCGCTCTTAATAACGATTGCGTATACAATATTTGTGTTTAGTCTTACGCAATTTTAATGTCTGACATGGCAAGACCCCTTGTCTTTGTATGCTGCCTAGCTCTTAAGGAGTTGAAGTCATTTTGAATCAATATTATTAATTTGATTGATGCACACATATTCGTTCTTGTAACGAATGTTGAAATGGAAAACTTGAAATTAAGATATAATATAGTATTACTAGCTGACCCCGCAAACGTCGTTTTGCCATGTATAATATTTATAGGAAACATTTTTTTACTTCAATAATAATAACTATCTAAATTAATCAAAAATCTTAGAGGGGTGAAAATTAAGGGTTGTATGTATTTTTGAATGCTAAATCATAAAAAAATAAAAATTATTAAAAATTTAAACGTTTGTTAAATTTAGTAGACAAAATTTTTAAACGCATAGACCGATTACTCAGCCGGAGCTCAGACTTACTGAATATGCATAAAAAATTTCATAAGAATCGGTCAAGCCGTTTCGGAGGAGTATGTGTACGAACATTGTGACACGAGAATTTTATATATTAGATAATTGAAAAAAAACGACTGCTTAGTTATATGAAGACATGAAAATACTATACATATATGATTAATTACGTTCAAAAATATTGTTGAATATTTTTTTTATCATATTACATACAGTAGTCGACAACTTAGAAATTCCCTGGCTCCACCTAGGCGGCTGTTACATACTAATCCATTTTTACAGAAATGCGATAGAATAAGCTGTGTATTTTTAACTGCACTTCATAAACTAACAGATAGCACTTGGCTATAAAATTAGACAAATTTTGACAGGAAACCTGACATTATAAAATACCAAATAAGTTATAAAACTTAATACAATTAATGGAAACCGATACTCAAAAGAATCTTAGCTGTTTATTATGCAGTCATTTTATTCCTAGATATTTTCTTTTTAATACGTGTGTCTTTATTAAGACATGGAACATTACGATCTAGCTAACTTAAGAAATTGCAATACATATATATTTTTCCTTGTATCTGCAAACCAAGTAAACGTTAAAAGCCCTGAGAGCCCATTTCCGCATGTCCGTATGTTTTCACCTCTTTAGCTTGGTTTAAGGTCAACTGAGTCATGTACAGTGTTGCATGCAATGTCAGGGCTTGAACAATTTAACAACAAATATACTTGCCAAAACAGTATATAAATTGTCGAAAAAAATTGCATCCTTTACAATATATGACCAATGCGACAAAACTTATAGCATACATAAAAACGTACACTTGTTCTTAAAAAAAAAACATCGCAAATGAAAATAATTAAGATAATTTACATGATCATTTGTACGTAACAGGTATATTCAAGAACGCTTGGCAATAGTTGTAATTATATTCTTATAATTTGATTTGTGTGTAATGGTGAATGTGGTAAATCTAAATCACAGAACAGATTTTTATATTTTTTTTTACTTATGTAACTTTAATGACGTTGTGGTTTATGACATTTTCCTTCGAATAATTGTAATGTAGGGAGGGCAAAATCTTGCTGAATTTCTTGCCCGTTCTTCTCAGAACAAGGCCTCCTGGTAGTTTTGCGAACGGATGGCGTAGTATTGCTCTTTCGCGAATTTTGTATACGTTTTTGACATTCATAAGCATGCGCTAAATTGAATAAACGTATTTTGATTTTGTTTAGTTATCCACTGACAATTTAAAAAATAGCTTACAACGTGCCACCATTTTGAATATTAAAAATTGAGAAAGATTACAGTCAATTTTTACGAACATTCATAAAGTAGAACATTATTTTGACAAAATACTTTTGAATTAATTACATTTAGCAAAGATTATTTTCTACGCTTTTTTTTACGGTGGAAAGAGGAAACTGACATGGCTAAGACCTACATATCGACTATGTTTATGTTATTGTGATATGCCCCACCTTAGCCTTCCTAAAATACTTATGGCATACATCATTTTTAATATCTAAAATTGAATTGATAAGAAATTAAATTTAGAAATTAATTTAAGATACTTAAATTATAGCTTTGAGGAAGAATTTACTTGGAAATTGAAACACAGTAAATAGATTTTAAATATATATAATAAAAAGCTGAAATTGCGAATTATAAAAAAAATAAAATCGAAAAGCCCCCTTAACAATCAAACTGCCCTGTGGGGTGTGGGCCCCACGCTGGCAAACACTGGCCTAAATTGTTCACACACTACGTGAGTACCAGGTCACTGGCTCTTATCTACCTCAATCGAGATATAAGGTGCTATTCGGAACACCCTTTGATGCTGGCGTCAAAGCCTATGTTCTACTTTTCCCTTTATCCGAAGTAAACCGAGAATTTCACTTTAGATAAACTAGGTCTCACTTTTTAATAATCCAAGTAAAACAAGTAAATGAGTTTTATATATGTACTAGCTAGCTAACGTTTGTATATTTCCATTTAAGTTGTAATTTATAAAAAAAAGGGTGCGTGTACTTATGTACGTGCGTAAGAAGTTATACTTCTTTGGCATTATTAAAAATAGTTTTTGATTGCATGCAAATAATTATTACAATTAAATAATCAAAGACTGGAAAAGGAGTCATTATAGTCAATAAAGTTTAGTTTACATTTTAAAAATTAAATAAATAAATATTTATTATTATTCTCTTACATTAAGTGTAACATAAATTCTATTATTATTCGAAGCATCAAATTAGCATCTTCCGTGGGCAACTTCATTCTGTTAATTTTGTGTCACGGTGCGCGCGCATCGTAAAATTTCACTCTCATCAATTTTTCATAACACGCCTAAAGAAGTATAACTTCAAAAACATATTTAACCTCTTTTTCTTTGTATACACATTTCATTAAATCTAAACCTAATAATAACCTGAAATACCGAAACCTAAAGTTTCTCCAATTTTATTTTATTTATTAAAAAAAAACAAAATTACATGTTAGTTAATTATACAGAGGCTAGTCTCCAATAAATTGTGTTGTTGTTTTCATTTAAATAACACTCAAATTAACTCAAAAAGTAAAAAAAAAAGATTTATTCATATAGGTAACACAATGTACATTTATAAACATTCAATTAAGCCAAATTACATTACGAAATTAGTGGCATGCATGTGATATCAGTTTAACGAAAGTAGTGCGTTACATGCGAAAGACATATCATTTCTTCTGTTTCTTGAGGAAGTTGGCATAACTATTCAGCCATAATTTGTTTAGATTGGTTTTTAAACAAATTATAGCTCAACAGTTACATATTCATCATTAGTAGCATCTTCATCAGTAGGGGATCTTTTAGTTTTCTTTTATTTCTTCGGATTCTGAAGTAGAAATTGCCTAGATATTTGGTGCCTGAAACAATAAATTTATTATTGTTTTTTTTTTCTTTATACATAAACACAGAAGAAACTTGGAGCGAGATAGTTGATGTTTTTAGTTACTTCTGTAATTTTCCGTTATGGGGCCGTTCAAGTATTACGTAAGCAGATTTACTGGAATTCATCCCCCCCCACCATTCCTCTTGTCAGCAAAAGTAAGCAAAGCTCTCAAAAATAATAGTACATAAACGTGTTAATTTTTTGTAGGAATCCTCGAAAATACATTTCGTTTACGAGCATAGACAACGTGTGGGTAATATGAGTAAAAAAAATTAATAATTACTGTTGACGAAATCACTACATAAAAAAAACAAAGACCCCCCCCCATAGTGCTTACGTAATACTTGAACGGCCTCTACAAATAAGTTGTTCAGCGCATTCAGGAAGTGATTACTTTAATTACAAGGGAACTTTCAGTATAATCCTTCTAGCAGTCAGTGTCAGTAATTTAAAATTTAGATATATTAACGTGGGTCATTATGGTTGTGCTTCTGATGGGGGATTTTTGCAAGATCAAAATTAAAAAGAATGTTGGAGGAACATTTAACAGTCCTGAAGGAATGGGTTTGTTAGGAGATCAAGCTTTCCCCCTAACCGAATATTATATGACACCATATCGTAGTCGATTAAACATATAAAAAAACAGACATAACTACAGATTAAGCAGAGTTCGAAGAACTAAAGAAAATACATTTGGTATTCTAGTTAGTAATAATTTTCGAGTAGCCTATCCCTTAACAAAATTATAAAGACATGTTGTGTCTTGCATAATTGGCTGAAAACTATTTCATCAACTTATGTAGAACCGGGTTTGATTGATGAAGGATATCCATAAACGGGAGAAGTAGTGGTAGGTCATGGCGGACGATAACCCACAAAGCTTTTCCTCACTCCGTAATCTGGGTAGAAATCATTCTAGAAATGCAACCCTTATGAGACAAGGTTTCTCCGACTACTTCGTTGGACATGGGCGTTTAGAATGGTAAGAGAGAATAATTTTTTAAATGCAACGAGGCGAAAGCGAAACATTTATTGTAATATTCTATAAAATAAATTATACTTACCACATTTTCTGATTTTCTCTAGTGTAGCTGTCAATATTTTTCAAAAAATCCAAATGAGGCAGCCAAGAAATTTTAGAAATATACAGTTATTTAGTTACTTTAGAAGTATGACATTTTTTTGCCTTTAACAACTTAATGTTGTAAGTATTTCGAAGGGAGCGTATTTAACCAAAACTTCTTTGACATTTTGCCTCTCTTTAATTAATTAATTACTTGTATATTTTTATCTGCAGTCCATCGTTGGTGTGCCATTTTCAACGCTGGAAGCGCGCCCAAAATACACACTTTCTCACAGCACAGGCGCTTTCGCGACACTAGATTCACGTCACATCACCATTATGAAATTAGTTACATGAAACTAATTTCACCAATAATTCGCACAGGGCACGAAACTCGTTTGCATTCATTAATGCATGTATTACAAAAATATTAAATTACACGTCAAACTGTTGGTAAAACTAATGTCACGAAATTAATTTCATGCCACTAATAATGCCACTTAATGTAATGTAAATGTACTAGTTAGTTGTTTTAGTTATTATTATTATATTATATTTTGTGGTCGCTTTAATTTTTTCCCTTGCTTATGATCTAATATAATTGATGTGTGTAAAATTTGTGATGTGATATTTTCTTGTTTAAACTTATGCATACACGTTGTTTTAGAACTTATAAAAAATTGAGGATGGATTGTCTAATGATAATTTTCAAGGCCAGTAGGATATCCACCCAAAAACATTTATTTTATCACCAATGAAACCCAATATTTTCTGGACTGTAAGTTAGCACTACGGTTAAGAACCACAGACATGACTTCTAAAGGGCTAAATGCCTACTATACTCCAAATATGTGTTGGAGTCGACACATATTTGGAGTATACTACATAGCCCTAAGTATCGGACTCTGAAGTTTGGTCAATGAGATCCATTTATCTTATTGAATAAAGTAATCTCTATATATATATATATATATATATAACATTCTCGTAAAATGTTCGTTCCCATACCCCTCCAAAACGGCTCAACCGATTCTTATGAAATTTTTTATGCATATTCAGTAAGGCTGAGCATCGGCTACTATCTTTCAAACTTCTAAGTGATAAGGGGTGTCCACACCAAAAAAAAAATTTTTTTTAGACAATTTTTATTGTTTTTACATACAACCCCTAATTTTCAATCCCATTTATTATAAGAATTGAACTAAAAAAATGTTTCCTAGAAATAATATACATGGCAAAACAAAGTTTGTCGGGTCAGCTAGTGATTTTATAAATACATATACCACTCTAAGGCTATTCAGAAAACTTAGTGTTAAGTATGACTCACGTTTGTCAACTTTAACTTGTTTGACATTAAGTTTTCCCTTCTACATTTCGAATCATGTAAAAATCTCTCCAGAAACGTAAAATTTGTGATAAATTCATTTAATTAATCAGTAATTATATGGCATTACGGGCAATAACCGCTCAAAGGTCGCTTCGATAAATTTTATGGAAAGGGCTAAAAACTTGTTAATATTTACTCAACCTTATCCTCTCCTTAGAGTTCATTTCGGAAGTAATATAACTACTAAAGGGGTTTTAATATACTTTTAGCTATACTGATATCAAATTGGTCACAATATCTGAGTAACCTGGACGACTTAGGTCAAAAATCAACAATAGTCAATCGACATTCTGGTCACCGACTTATCTATAAAAGATTGGTATGAATAAATTTTATTAATAGATGCAAGGAGAAATCAATTTATATTTATTTATTTCCGCATAATTATTATATATTTACAGTTACTACAGCGAATGAACACTATAATACCTACACCGATACGATAATCCTACAATTAAAAAACATATACATATATACCTAGAACTTATAACCAAAATCAAAATCATTTATTCATATAGGTAACACAATGCTTCTAATTTTACATTTACTGCCAGTTCTCAAATCAAGGGCGTATAAAGGAAGAGAAGAACTGGCAATAAACTCTCCGCCACTCTTATTAATCGCCAAGTTTTTTGTTTTACACAATGTTTGTAAGGAGCTGCAACTTTTATCACCATGTTCCACATGACATCTTAAGTAATAAATAATAATAAAATAAATTAAAAACAAAGATTTGTCCTCTATCAGCAGGAGGCATTGTGAAATAGGAGCACGCACTTACATTCTCGTGGGATAATAATAAAGCAAGGAACTCTTGTGAACAGTGTACAAACAAATAGGTCTAACTCGATAAAAGCTTTTGCCTTCCCCTTTCTATACGAGCAATTGTCATCAGTTCAAAGGAGTCTTAATAATTATCACAGAGTTAGCTAGGAATTTGAAATAAATATTGCGTGACATCTTACCTGTGCTTCCCCCAATCCGAGCTCAATAGCATCAATGCTCTTCCTCACGAGAGCCGCCTTCTCATGTTCATGATCAGTGTTCGCGGCCAGGCCGGCGAGCAGTTGCGTGTGCTCAGCCCGCAGGGCCTCGAGGCCGGCAGCCACAGTGCGGGCTCCGGCCACCATCTCCTCCTGCGTCATAGCCGTCATTCTTCCTAGTGACTCGATCTTCTTGCTGTTGAAAGAAACATTAATAAGTCATTTTCATAATTACAAAAACCAATATTCCCTTTCATTAATGCACTTCAAGCACTTAATAGGTATAGAAGTTTTGGTCCGTGTCACATTAAACAAATAAAAGATAATTTTTAAAGATAAATTTCCCAATATTATTACGGGACCTTATTGTATACACATATTTTGTATGTATAATGTATATATATATTAATAATATAATATTCACACGTACATTAAGAAATTTCCTAATATATATATCCTATATCAACATTTTTAAATAAACTAATGTTTATAGTACGTTTACAAATAAGAATGTTATATCTTCTTCACGGGATGAGCTGTTTAAGATTCGGATATTTATAATTTTTGTTTCTACACGAAACAATAGCAAAGAAACCACTAGATTTATGTAAATCAACAAAATAAATCAATAGCGCTACAACCGTTTTAGGTCTGGGCCTCAGATTACTGTATCTCTTTCATTATTTATTGTTAGTCTAATAGGCAAGTAGTGAACGGCCTTCTGTGCCTGACACACGCCCTTTTTGTGTCTAAGGCAAGCCGGTTTCCTCATGATGATTTCCTTCACCGTTTGAGCGAATGTTTAACGCACATAGAAAGTCCATTGGTGCACAGCCGGGGATCGAACCTACGACCTCAGGTGTGAGAGTCGCACGCTGAAGCCACTGCTGCTTACACTTTCACTTACATATACTATAATATTCTTTCATTAAGAAATATAATTTTATCAACATCTTAGTAAACCAAAACGGGATTAAAATCTAGTAACGTAAGTCATGTATACAAATATGGAAAAATCTAGATCGTATTATAGGATTAAATCAGTTTACGTAATATAGATTATGTATATAGAGTTACATATAAGATACAATGACCGTGAAAAAAACATTGTGTATTGATTTACTTTAGAAAATAATACATTCAATTTGAGCGGTGAATATTAATAAATCTTTGACACATTTTGATAATAGCACTCCTGCTGCATTCAAGAATTATTGTCGTTGTTCTGTGTGAATAATAATAATAATAATAAAAACTTTATTTATAACAAAAGGGTTTGTGACAGAATTCATATATCGCTAGTCCCCACACTAGGGAGGCCCTGTGTTGTGGGTAACTAAAAAACCATTATTTTGTGGTAAGTACATGTTTAAATTAGTTTAAAAAAGATGATAATTTAAAAAAATATATAATAATAATGGTTATAAATTAAGTGTTACAAATGAAGTGAATGAGAGTGTGTGAATAGGTGTGTATGCGCATGTAGCTGAAAGTTATTATGATCGTGCACGGTGTCTGTGTTAGTTTATGAAACCTCAAAGTCATACCATGATATGTCGTAATGCCTCTGTAGATTCGAAATTCAATTTGGCTAGTGTAGTTTCTATGTGACTTGCTAATTTATATCTGGATAGTTTTACGATCTCAGAAGTCAGAATCCATAGATTTGGAAATGTTTGTTATAAAGGAAGTAAGGATGTTAACTGATATAAATGGAAATTTATTACATTAACATGACTAGACGATTTACAATGAAGCTATATGAACAAACGATGAAAAACCTAACGCAGACAGTTCAATATAATATATATATTTGTGTGTGTGTGTGTGTGACCGAACCCCTCTAAACGACTGGACCGATTTTGATGAAATCCCTTGGCCTTCAAGGGAACCTGGGAAAGGTTTAGATTATAGCCCGGTTGATGGCACTGCTCGGTACTTCAACTTTGCTTATTTCTAATACGCTTTAAATATCATGCAGGCCTTGTCCACTTTGTGATAATCGTACAACCCTTGGCCTTGGCCTAAGATTTTGTTGATGTGATCAATTGCTTTTTCTAATAAGCAAATAGGCCTTTTGGGTTTATGACTATGGTCTTCACTGTATGAGCGTGTGATAAATGTGTACAGCCTATATTTGCACAGCCGGGGTTCGAACCTTCGACGTCAGAAATCAGTAGCACGCTCAAGCCAGACCAAAACCGCTTATACAGACACTTGTTTAATACAACATAATGTCAATGGCAGAATGTATTTAATTGTATATATTTACATATAACCTTATTCACAATGACTTTGAGACAGTTTCTGAGGTTTGTTTAATCGAAGCCTATTTATAAATATTTGTATGTACTAGACGCAAAACGGGCAGAATGCTTTTTTATTGATAAAAGCTGGCCAACACACACAATTTTTAATGTGACAAGCACTTACGCCTTTAGTACACCTACGCAATCGCATGCGGCAGCGAAACGACGAAAAAACTGTAAGTTGTATGGCAAAGTTTCGCATGTGTTTTGTCTCGCTCTATTACATAGCTAGATGAAATAGTTGCGTCCTTGTCGGTAGTGTTTCGCAAGGAACTGATGCGGTACACTAGACAAAGAACCATCTCACCCCGTTGTGTCAGTGAGGACAGAATTTCGCACAATGGAAGCCGAAAATATTGAATTATTATTAAATTTGATTCCGAAATTTATCCCGAATTTATTTAATTGGGCATGTTAATTACAAAATGCTACAAAAAGAGGTGGCATGGAGGAAAATTCAAGAAAAGACGGGGATAGATGGTAAGAAAGCAAGCTACATGACATTTCTTCGAACGAAGAGATAATACAAATATTAAACAAAACAATTAAAATTACAAAAAATAAACGAAAATCGATTTTAAAGTGTGAGGAGAACAACTATGGATATCCAGACCTAGCTCGTTTATCAGAATGCTCAATTTGGACATCGGTGAGCTTTGACCAAAACGCGTTCTTCGGAAAGTGATACCGCCCGCCCATGGACACTCATATAATTAATTTAAGGACAATGATCTAATATATAAAATTCTCGTGTCACAGTTTTCGTTGCCATACTCCTCCGAAACGGCTCGACCGATTCTCATGAAATTTTGTGTGCATATTGGGTATGTCTGAGAATGAGACCACATCTATTTTTCATCCCCCTAAATGTTAAGGGTAGTCCACCCCTAAATATTTATATTTTTAGATATTTTTTTCTGTTTTTATTTTTTTATGATACAGCATTAAAAAATACATACAAACCCCTAACTTTCACCCCTATACGATCAACCCCTATTTTTTTATTATAAATTATATATATGGCAAAACGACGTTTGCCCGGTCAGCTAGTTCCTTTATAAAAAGCTAGCTTAGCATACTATATAGTCAAAGATTTGCCGCATTAAATCCAGACATTTCAATCAAAGAAACTTTATCAAGTAACAATTATACAGAAATGTTAGGCTCACTAAGAGGTAACAAGATAATAGTGTCAAAAGCGGAAATGACGACGTGGGAGTCACCGGTTGGAACACGACACTGTCGCAATCCAATGATATTGATGACAGATCATCCGTTGCAATACAATTACAAACGAATTGTGAGTGAACTCTTTTAACCTTATAAAGGTATATTTTATTTAATACATTTTATTTCGCAGTAGGTACCTACTACACATTGGGCAGTAAGTGTTTGCCTCCTATTACTCTCCTGATGTTAAGTGTACGCTCTTTTCTTGAAGGAATCTAAGTGGAATTTGTTCGGAAATACATCAGTGGGCAGTAGGTCCCACATAGCGGTGATGCGCGGCAAAAACTGCCTTTAAAACGCTCAGGTGTGGAACGACGGAAGTCGAGGTGATTACGGATAATATTTTGTATTCTGCCTTGACATTCTATAATGAAACTCAGCTGCAGGTATTTGTCCGACACTGACACATATTATGTTGTAAAGACATCAGTGACTCACTAAGAATTTGAACTAAAATTAAAATAAAATAAAATATGTTTATTATGGAACAAAAGATACAGGTATCACTTATTCCACGTCATTAAATTTGAATTTTTAGGCATCCCTACTCATCGGCAAAGAAGACAGAGGGTGAAGGCCGAGAGAAAAAGCCGGCGTAAAAAACTCTCGATAATCTTTTAAAATAGCAAATCATCAAACAACACTTATTTTAAAACAAATATAGCAAATTAATTAATGAATTAACTCTTTTACCTCTTCTTTAATGTGTGTAGGGTAACATTTATTACTAATGAAACACACCAACAGAAACAAACAAAGTAATAATAATATAATAAAAAAAGAAAAATAACAAAAAAATATGGAAAGAAAAAAAAGGAATGAGATACATTTTAAGTGTGTAATTTGTGTGTGTTGTGGTAATAACTGGCCCTGGCATTATGCTGTGGAGCAGACATGTTCCACAGCGCTGGTCATTCTGTGAGTGACCACAACAGTTAGTTTGCGCCTCAGACGCAAAAAAATTAAAAGTAAAAATTAACAAAGTAAGTAAAGAAGACTTGAAAGATTTGTGTGTAAAAGTATATATGTAGTAGTAAGTATAAAATATATGTCATGAAAGTCAGGAGTTGTTCTTTTTTATTTTACTTTACAACTGATCACAGGCGTATAAATACACCTTGATCAATGTAAAGGTCGACATAGACGGACCGCATGTTGCAGTCGAGACCGACTGCTCTAGAGCAGTTGAGTTCGACCGCAAAATAATACTGATGCGACCGCATAATGCAGTCGACTACGACTGCTTGGAGCAGTTGTGTTCGACCGCAATACTACAATCAAGAGGAAGGGATTAGTACTTAGCGAGGTGCGGGGAGGGAGTGGCGCGCGGTCGTCAGCAACCGCTTGTAGCGGTCCGTGTATGTCTGGCAGCTCTAAGCATTCGACCGCACGGCGAAACTCGACCGCAGAGCGAATGCTCCGACCACTCAGTCACTGCTCGAGCGGTCGGTGTATTGCGTATATGAATTTAGTATGGAAACTGCAGATAGCCGTGCGGCGACCGCTCTAGAGCAGTCGGTCTCGGCTGCAACATGCGGTCCGACTATGGCCAGCGTAACACTGATTATGAATTCATATTGAGAAGCTTAATTAGTTAGAAAACCGTAACAGGCCATAGGCCATTTTAGGTATTGTCGAGTGGCCTTGTAACTTGATACCAAAGCTGGATCATTATCAGATTTGCTTGATTGGATTTGAACAAACGACACATAGGTGTAGATTACCTAACCTGACGAAATACCTTGCGGTAACACCCGACCACATTTGTCGCTGGTTCATTTGTATGTTATTTTGCTTAAAGCGAAATAGACGGTTTGCAGAAACGAAAAGGATTTTCGAGATGTTTCAAATTTATGAAATACTGTAGAAACTTGGCCACTAAGACCAGACCATACAACTAATAAAAGACATAAAATCAGTCGCGCTACAACCTCTTTAGGTCTTGGCCTCGGATTTCTGAATCTGTTTCATGACCATTTTTCAATCTAATAGGCAAATAGGTGATGAGCGTCCAGTGCCTGACACACGCCGTCGACTTTTTGGGTCTAAGACATGTCGGTTTCTTCACGATGTTTTCTTTCACCGTTCGAGCAAATGTTAAATGCGCACATAGAAAGAAAGTCCATTGGTGCACAGCCGGGGATCGAACCTACGACCTCAGGTATGAGAGTCGCACGCTGAAGCCACTAGGCCAACACTGCTCTAAAATACATGCTCTTATCTTAGTGAACAAGGAAGAAGTAACATAACACATAACATGCCCAGCGACATACGGAAGAGGTAAAATTGTGTTTAAAAAATGGGAGGCAAAAAGGCCGTGAACCCAACTTCCGGCCATCGAGGTGTGCTGTACTTTCGAGTAATTCTATCAATTCAACAGGTGTACAAACAAAACGGGATCACAATAAATATGGTTCGTTACGTGATGGAATTTAAATTGCGCTGCGCATTTAAATCATATGGGTCAATGGATTACGAATACTAATGTATGAAATTGAAAGTGCTTCAACCGTCTACTACTTGTATTTATCGGAATTATTTATAGTTTTAAACTATATTACAGAGCAGTGTTGGCCTAGTGGCTGCAGCATGCGAATCTCATCCCTGAGGTCGTAGGTTCGATCCCGGCTGTGCACCAATGGACTTTCTGTCTATGTGCGCATTTAACATTCGCTCGAACCGTGAAGAAAAACATCGTGAGGAAACCGGCCTGCCTTAGACACAAAAAGTTGGCGTGTCATTAGATTCACAAATGATCATGAAACAGATTCAGAAATCTGAGGCTCAGCTCAGCTCACCTAAAAAGGGTTGTAGTGCCACTGATTTATTTATTTATTTTAATCATATTAAAGGTACGTGCTGACAAGAGTCATTTGTGTTTGGCCATAGATTTCAGAACCTATAATATTACTTGCCATAAAAAAAAATGTTTGATGGCAATGTGGAAATTCCTTCATTTAATTAATTACTGGTCACCGTTCGCCGTTGAAGCCCTAGGCCCTAGGGATAATTTTAACTAACAAAAAATTATCAGTCAGCACATATATTTATAATAATCAATACATTTTCAGAACCTATCCAGAAATACTCAAAGTAATGCGATTTCACGTTCACGTTGGCATTATTGTACGGTTTACAAAAGCGAGGAATGTCAGGAATCTAGAACGATGGAATGCAATAATACCCCAGCACTATTATGTAATGGATATTACGAAAACCTTTATTCGTTTACGTTTATACATACTCGTGATACATAAATCTTGATTTTGCATTTACAACTAATTTATTTTCAGCTGACTACAATTTAGTCAATAAAATACCCATCAAATATGTCACTTTCCTAAACAATATTTTGGATTGAATCACAGCTCAACTTTAAAACAGCTCCAATTTTTTTTCTATCGTTCTTTACGACTTGTATGTAGTACCCCAAGTACTTGGGGTACTACATTCAAGTCATACAAACTGTTAAGTTGAGGGGATCGAACGTTTTCAGGAATGTCGAATGTACTCTACTCATGGGGGTTTTAAGAAGCTAGTTTTTCAGTATAATAATGAATTAAATAAGACAAAGTTAAGATAAATAATCTAATCCCGGCATATATTGTTTCAAATAAGAAGGAACAGATGTCCGACCTACTTGTGAAAGAAAATTATCAGTGTAACAGATGCGGCAACGTGTCTGCCCCATGGCCCATTTCAATCACTTATAATAACCATAACCGCCAATAAAAACATTGGAGAGGATAAAGGTTTGTAATCGAAATATAGAAATATGGGAATATCCACATTCCAAAAACTACTGAACAGATTTCAAAGACACTTGGACTTTCTTAGTTGGATTATGTATGTATGTATACGACAAATTTACGATAAATTTGTGTACAAACATACGCTTACGAACTCAGTAAGTCAAAAATAGATCAATATTTTTTAAAAGAGTACCGAGAGTTTTTTACGCCGGCTTTATCTTGGCCTACACCCTCTGTCTTCTTTGCCGATGAGTAGGGATGCCTACAAATTCAAATTTAATGACGTGGAATAAGTGATACATGTATCTTATGTTCCATAATAAACATATTTAATTTTATTTATTTTAATAGATAATTCTTATAATATTTTGTTCAGTTAAAAACATATAACACAAGAAATTATCACAATAAACTACCACCATTATGTAGACTTCAGACAACCTAAAACAAAAAATAAAATTCCATCCCATTTGACTACCTTTGAAAAGAAAGAGACGGTTGCTCGTTAGACATAATTGCCGGTTGCCCCGTGTTTCATAGTTCATTAGGCACGTTTTCAAAACACCCCGCGAGGTTTCCACCCACTAAGTATTCGGTTCATTGAGTCCAAATATGTACGTATATATAAATCAAAATATTTCATATAAAGTTATAATTAATAGTCGTAATATATACTAAGTTTCACTTGAGTAGAAGGTCGGCAACGCACCCACTAAAATTGCCTCTTTTTTTATAGGATAGCCTTTAAAATAAAAACAGAAGTCGTTTGTTAGCGATAAAGGCACCGACTCTCACTTATTTAAGTTTCCTAGTCAGTTTGTATTTTAAGGAATTGCCAAATAAGAAAGATCAAAATAATAACAAGAAATCAGAAGGTATCGCATTCGATACAAAACCATTTATAGCGAAAATAAATGATTGAAAAATCGATAAATATTTCCACTTCTAAAGGTTTTTAAAGTTACGTAAGCTAACCGCAGCTTCAACTCCACCCCAATCGTATAAAACTTACACATTCCAAATTTAAAATTCTCGCCAAGATCCGATTTACTTACACAACCTTACCCATACCCCGGAGCAAGTTTTATAGCCTCTACGGGCAGTACGCGAGGAGCATAAAATACCGTTACCATGGTTACCAAGGGCGACAACCCCCCGAAGGCGCTACTAACGCTGTTTCCAGAGCAAATTGTATTAAGAATTCCAAATGTATACTGGCGAGAATAAACCTATGTTCCTCTATGTATTACCGTGTGTCATAGATTGTAGATAGTAATCATATCTAGGATAAAAAGTAGAGTAGGCTAAGTAGATAAGTAATATGTACTAGAAATTCAGACTTAATGATAATTTTTTTGTTTTTTTCGTAATAGGAGGCAAACGGACCAAACTATGTTGCCGGCCTCTTAAGAATAAATATTGCCTATACTATAATCACAAAGCTATTGTATATTTTTAAGTCTATAGCCAAACTTAAAGGCAAGGAGATAAAATACAACTCATTTGTAGTCTGTGTAAATTTACTAATGTAGGTTAATAACTTAATAAATGCGAGAGTAACGCTTTCACGCCTAAACCTCTGAATCACTTTTAATTAAATTCACGATAGTTTTGACCTTGGGGAAGACATAGGTTACCTTCTATCGTTCTAAATAGATTAAAGTTTTTATGGAAATTCCTCTTTGTCATGCAAAAGCCTAGTATTATTTTAAGTGCTTTTTCTTCTTGTCTCACATATTTTAGATATGTCAGTAACAAAATGGTCCTATTTACTAATATTTATAAATTATATTATTATAATAAAACACAAAGTCAAAAGTTTATTAGACAAAAAACTAAACTGACCGAGGCTCTATCACAAGCTTTCTTCACAAGCGACTAACATTTAGTAACTAATATGGAAATAAAGGCTTTATTATTATAGATAAACAACGCCATACAGATTTTGTTTTAATGAAAACAAATGTATTTAATAACTTTGTCATTGGAAGAGAACGCGATACGACGCCCTTTCAACTGTCCACTTTTGTTAATATAATTTAATTTATGTTCACAATTTTCTAAACCTACATAGTAATAATAATAATTTTTAAGTTTTATAAAGTTTGGTCCCTGTGGCAGTGTGCCTTTAACGCTGGCAGAATTTCATTTCAGCGAGGAAAGCACCAGATCTGGGGTCACCGGTACTATATACCTATCTATATAGATATTTATCTATCTAACGTCTTTATGTACATATGTTCTATTACCAACATTCTGATATATGTTCGCTTTTCTCGCACCCGTCCCATATGTTGCCTCCCCCGGCATTATTCATAATAGATACAATTTCATTGACAACATGAACAAAGTCAACAAACAAAGGCGAGGGTTCCCCTTGTGGCTATTCGCCAACTAGCCTTTTTATTGAATTTTGAACTTTAGGGGAAAAAAATTGCGAAATTTTTTGATATCAGCGTAGGTAGGTACTCTGTTTTTATTGTTATTTTCATTACACTCGCAAATCAGTAGCAATATTAGTGTTTACTAATAAAGGCTTTTTTTTTCAGATGTAATACACCGTACGTACATACATAAGCTTTTTAATTTTTTTTTGCAAATATTTAATAAATAACCGTCTAAAATTCCAAATATTAGCGTGTTTAACCAATTCAAAATCAAGATACATATCAAAATGAGTCTAGTAGACTAAAATTAGGATGGCTGTGTGATGGCGACGTGTATCTCGTTCGTATAATATATTGTTTCTAATGTAATAAAAATAATAAACATTTTTGTAATGATAAATAAAGTTCTTAACATTAATTTAGTTTTTTATGACAAATATACCAAGCGACATATAATCAAAATTTAAAAATATTTAAGGTAATTAATACTATAAACCTTATAACTTCTCAGTTTATTCAACTGAACACATCCAGTCGGTTCAACAAAGAAAACAATCAGTTACAACAAATCGATATGTCTAGACTTAAAAAAAAGCTATTGGGAATGAATGGCCAGATTTATTATTATTAACGTTTAGGACGAAAAAGCTATTTAGATTCAAAAAACATCGCAGCCTTTTGAAGTTCCTTTATATATACCATTACAGGAACATTTCACCATTTACTATATGTTATTAATGCCGAAATGTACTCAATTAAATTAATAATTAATTTAAAAACTATGCACGGAGTTTCATACTTTCACCAATAAATATAGTGATTCTCTAATACCAGTTCATAGCTGGAATTCACTACTTTTTTATCTAAATAAGTTTCAGTCCTAAACCTATTATTGTTCCATAGGGAATCGAAACTTCGTCTCCGGTTATTTAAATTATTTAGTAATAGCATGTCTCATCTATAAATATTTGAATATGAATTGGCTTTGTCAGGTACCAAATCGATGTGTCTAGACTGGACAAAGGGGGAGCAATAACGATCATTAAAAATTTCTACACCCAACCAACATCCTCTCACTGTACAGTTAAAACAACAAACAGCGAATAAAAGCAGAAAACTTCTTTAAAATGCTTTTAAAAATATAACCCCAGTGACATTTATAATCATGATAAGCAATGAATAGCAATAAATCTAATTCTTGAAACTCCTATTCATAAAACTGAATTCTATCACTCCTCCTTTACTGTGCAAAGTATCCTGCTATGGAATTCCCTACCAATTGAGATTAGACGAGCTCAGTTCTTAAATTTATTTAAAGAGCTTCTTTTTGATCATTTTCTTTCTGCCTCGTAATTAGCTCTGCTTATATATAATAATTATTGCCACTCACTTAACCTTTTGATTGGCTTTTAAATTTTTGTTTATACATATTTTTATTTATTATTATTGTTATTTTTTCTTTAGTTTTTACTTTATTTTAGTTATAGTAACGTGTTATTTTGAGTTTATTTTGTTAATTATTTTTGCATTTCTAGTATTCTACCCTCTGTAGGTGTTTCTTTTTCATTGTTCCACTTTAGAGTTGCCTGGAAGAAATCGCTTGTTAGCGATAAGGCCGCCCGTTGCCTTATAACTTTTGTAACCTGCATTTTTTATTTTTGTTATGTGTATGTTTTTGATTAAGGTAATAAAGTATAAATAAATAAATACTTTTCCTTTATGATGAGTAACCAATTAATCTATTATACAACGGTAAGCTATACTATATAAACACACCTTCCTAGAAGTTATAGATAACTGCTGTGTAATGCTTTCAAGAGGAAACTTTTCCAGCCGTCTTCCCCAGGTTGCAGAAATTAAATTTTTAAGGCAAGTTCGCTGCTATAACAAGATTCCTAGAAATATGGTATTTAGACAGATCAAACACATCAAAAACCTAAGTTTGATAAGAGATTACTACACAGTCAATCTACCTGGAAGATAAAAACGCTTGGCAATAGTTCTAATTATATTCTTATAATTTGAAGTGTTATGAATATGTGTGTAAAGAGAAAGTGGTAAATCACAGAACAGATTTTTTATTTTTTTTTACTTATGTAATTTTAATGACGTTGTGGATATATAGACATTAGCCTTAGCAAAAATTGCAAATGGAAAAAGGCCAAACTTGCTGAGTTTCTTGCCCTTTCTTCTCTTTCTAGAACAAGGCCTCATGGGAGTTTTGCGACCCGAACGGAATTTGGCGAAGTCTTGCTCTTTCGTGAATTTTGTAAACGTGGTGCTGACATTCATAAGCATGCTCTAAGAAGCATCTAAATTGAATAAACGTATTTTGGGATTTTGATTTTGATTTTCAAGAGGAAGGTGATTAAATTTTTAAAGGCAAGGTGCTTTTATAGGAAGAGTATTTAGACCATAAGTTTGATAAGAATTATAAATTACTCAACTTAACTTTTAGTTCAGAACTAATGGTAATATGGTAAATGGTGGATAGAAGATATAGAAGCGTTAGCAAAAAGCAAATGGAGAAAGAAAGCCATGGGATAGAGGAATTTGGAAAAAGCTGGAGTTTAATGGTACTGAAGGAAGTTAGTGAATAACGAGTAACAAGAAAAAAATAATAATTATTTAAACTTTATGTTGTTACCATTTGTTAAGATTGGAAATATTTATTACCTCTTATTCAATTGGAAATTAATAAAATATTTAAATCAACTAATAACTAATTTTGTTATCAAATTGCATTTACCTATGCGATGAAAAGAGAGAGGAATAAAGTACATGCTTTGTCATCGCTTATTTTACTTTTCTCCTCTTTTGTGTTAATGTGATGTAAATAAAGTGGAATAAGGCTTACTTAGTGTTTACAGAAGCATAACATTTCTTTGGGTAATGTCTTTTAAACAAACGATTAAAAAGACAATCGTAAATTTATATATCACTCGATAAAACTATCTACAAAGCACTAATACTCACATTCTATACGCGTTTAAGGTCTTCGACATTATACAGCTGTCCTAGATAATATAATCCATTCCACAACACTAACACTATTACACTATACACTTACACTAATAAATTCCATAGAAAAATATTACTTTTTACTGAAAAACAAAGAAAAATTTAGCTATATAAAAAATTACAAAATCAACGTAGAACTTATGTACCTATCACAAAATTGACGTCTGAAATAACGAAAATACCAATAGGTCACGCCCTACTTATAAAACTAATCAACCCAGCTCAAAACATAAAACCTTCTAGAGCCTTTGAAAAATGAACTAAATAAATGAGATTCAAGCGAATTTATTCCGCTTACGCTAATACAAATGACACAATATATGTTCACATGCTCAGCGGTAATTTATATTACGCACGGAAATTTTAACACTTCACACAATTGCAACAATAAATAAAGAAGATCTATTTATCAAGACATTTTCTAAATAGAAGAATACACTTCAGCTTAGACTTAAGACACACAGACAAATCTCAACGAAAAGTAAAAGTCAATAATAACAAACGATTGATCTACATCCACGTGTAATTTGGCACACGTTATCCTTGCCAATAATTGCCTAACTCGAGACAGAGATAGTTAGATTATGTCATAGGAGTGAACGAGAGAGGAACTAATTTAAAATAGATCCACTCCTACGCAGTGTCGTTGATCCCTTTACACTGCGTTTGTTTGTTTTTGCTCTCATATTTATTGATTGTATGAAGAAAAAACAAACAAATACAAT